GCGGCCCCTGCCGTGCGGCGGGTATTGTCCTCCTCAAAATGGCCGCCGGGCCGCGGCGCCCCGCGCCCCTCCCCACCGCCCGGGAAGGGTCCTCCGCCGCCCGCCCCGGGCCCGCCAGCTTCGCGGCCCCCGGCCCGGCTTCCTCAGGGCCTCCTCAGCGCCGCCGTCCCTTCAGCGCCTCGCCCAGGAGCCCTGCTGGCTGCCCTCGCTCTCGGGCCTGCTGCGCCTTCCCCACAGGCGCCTTTCCCTGACGCTCCCCCGCGGGTGACCCGTCCGCCTCGTGGGCCTCCTCACACCGGACGCGTTTCCCCCACAGACACTCGTGGCCCTCAGTGTTTTAGGGATGACGGTGATACAGGCTGCAAGGCTTGACAGCCATCCTCTGCGCTTCCAAAATCCCCGGCCTTGCCCCCGAGGAAGGCGAGGCGTGAGTTTGCCCTGAAATACATGTAGTTTCTGCTGCGTCTCTCCGCTGCGTCTGAAAAATGCATCTTGAATATAATTAAAAGCAGTCAAGGTTTACTGAAACTCTCCAACGAGCTAAGGACATGATGCAGCACCTCAAAAATTATAATACCTAAATAAGAGGATGTACTACTAACGATGTGATCTCTTCTTCAAGTTTATTCCAGCGGAGAGGATGAGGAAATTCTCAGTAACTCCAGTGGTTTCACAGGTTCCCACTAAACCGTTTCTGAGCCTTTTTTTCATCAGCGTTACACCCACCGCCATGATTTGTCAACTGTTTCTCTACAGCACAGAGGTGGAAAAGAAACACCACAAAAATGACCCTTCTAAATACTTCAGGGGTGGATTTACCAGGTGGGCATTAGAGAATGTTCACCAGGCTCCACATGGCGAATACGCCCTGGATCACGATGCAGACGTGGCCATATGGTCACGCACACCCTCTGTTCCTGGCGTGACAAAACCCAGGCCTGTGTATAACACACCTCCCGCACCATTTCAGAGATGTTTCAAGATGGGATTTGTCCACAATAAACTATTCAAGTAGTGAAATATCAACTGAAAAGAAACTTAACTTACAAGCAGATACAGACTGCTTCTCTCTGTGGATTCTGATCCCTCTCCTCTGCCTTTTGTCACATTAGTTCACATTCCAGGACCTCCCTTGTGAGTGCAGACTCACGGGGACTTTTTTGTTTTATTGCAATTGTGTGAAAGTTGAAGACGACAGGAAGCTGATGCTGAACCTTTACCCAAGTCCACAGTTGAGAAAATAACACACCCACAACCCTACCTGAGGCGGTGAAGGTGCCCCACGCAGCCAGCCGAGCTTCTACAAAACATAGTGTGGTGAGTTGACCCTAGCTGGAAACCAGCCCACCAAAGCCACTCTATCACTCCCCTCCTCAACGGGACAGGGGAGAGAAAATATAACTAAAAGCTTGTGGGTTGAGATAAGGACAGAGAGAGATCACTCAGCAATTACCATCACGGGCAAAACAGACTCAACTTGGGGAAAAATTAATTTATTACCAATCAAATCAGAGTAGGATAATGAGAAATAAAACCTAAATCTTAAAACACCTTCCCCCCACCCCTCCCTTCTTCCCGGGCTTAACTTTGCTCCCGGTTTTCTCTACCTCCTCCCCCTCAAGCAGCGCAGGGGGACAGGGAATGGGGGTTGCAGTCAGTTCATCACACGTTGTCTCTGCCGCTCCACCCTCTTCAGAGGCAGGACTCCTCACACTCTTCCCCTGCTCCAGCCTGGGGTCCCTCTGGCGCCTGGCGTACCTCCTCCTCCTCTTTCTTCACTGACCTAGGTGTCTACAGGGTTGTTTCTCCCACATATTCTCACTCTTCTCTCCAGCTGCAGTTGCTGTTGTGCAGCTTTTTTTCCCCCCTTCTGTTATCCCAGAGGTGCTACCACTGTCACTGAAGGGCTCGGCCTTGGTCAGCGGTGGGTCCATCTTGGAGCTGGCTGGCATTGGCTCCATAGGGCACAGGGGAAGCTTCCAGCAGCTTCTCACAGAAGCCACTCCTGCAGCCCCCCCACTACCAAAACCCTGCCATGCAAACCCAATGCACATGGGTGGTGAAGTCTTTTACCATCTCCTTGTAGACTAGGCTCCCATATATTGTAAAAATTTCCCTCTGCTTCAGTAAGCTGAAAGATCAAATCTCATCTAAAATTTCATAGAACCTTTTAGTTTTAGTATTTTATTCCTTCTGAAGAGTCTTTCTGAGTCAGTTCTGGAAAAATCAGAGGCACTGGAAGAGCTCAGCCTGACCCAGGAAGGCAACTGAGATGCTGCTTTAAATTGTACCTGTGACTCAAACTGACACTCTTTTGAGCTGTATTCTCCACTCCTACCTGTGTCATTTTCCTTGACTTATCATCAAAAGACTGTTCCAATCAGTCTATCCTGTCTGTTTTCCCTGCATTTAATTACTCATGGTATTATTTTTCTCTTTAAGCTACCAGGAGGCAAGAAGCACCTGTCGCTAGAGAAAACAACATGCTTCTGTACAAATCCCCCTTGCACAGTCTGATGGTGTATCAGTCTCCTACGATCTCCCTTCACCTTTTATTTTAGCTCTGAAGAGCAATGGGCAATGCCATCTGGACCTTCTGAAGTCCACTATCACCACTAAGAAGCAGGACCATGTGCAAGAACAAGGAAATAAAGCATCCCAAACCCCACTCTATTTTCTACTTTACGGGGCTTTTTTAAGCGAGACTCAAAACACACCGGGTACTTTACAGAACAAAAGACAAGTGCCATTTCCCCAAGGACGTTAAATTCTATTTTTAGGAATGATGCAACATCACAGAGAAGCTACCGCTGTGAGGAAGGGTGTCACAAGACTGATGGTGCTCGATGGTCCCGTTTTATTTTGTTCTTGCCACTTCTTCCCCCTCCCTCTTTGACAATCTCTCTGCTGCATGTCCAGGAGGAGTATTTCTGGGAGGTGGAATGAAACTGGTCAAGGCCTGAGAGCAGCAAGAACTGAATGCAGGAATGGCAGTGAGACATACATTAAGGCCAGCATCACAAACAGAACAAATGTGCTTAAATACACATTAAGTACACAGGAAAATACACTAGATTTTATGAGAACATATGGGATTTTGCTACCACTGCAGAAGTTATACGTGCTCAGAAAAGCTGAAAACCATTTCAGCTGTACCACTATTGGTCTCGCCACCAATTACACAGATCCCCAATCACAGACCAGGTTTCTACAAACCTCATATTTATATAGCTTTTCTTCTTATATATCAACAGAGGAAACTCACATTATACAGGAGATTCAGTGGAGCCAACAATAAACAGAGTGCTAAAACATGCAAAGATAACAGGCTAGACAGCAGCACTCAGAGTGAGTGGCAGGGGAGAAGCCACACTGGGAACTACAAAGGACCCAGTCCTGCAGGGTCCGGGCTGCAGCAGAGGGGGGCAAAGGTGAAGCTTTTTGTCTCTCTGAGCTCCTCCTCTTCAATGCATGGAGCTGAAGGGAAGTGAATGGGGAAGCGTCACAGTGACAATTCCAGAGAAATTCCATCTCTGGGAAAAAAATTCCACGTATTGTTTCCTAAAATATTTCCAAGCCTTGTTTCATTCTTGTACAGGAGTTTTATAAGGAAGGAATATGACGTATCTAGATCTTGCAGAGCTCTTTAGCTTAAGTCTCCACTCTCTTCTGAAGAGGGCAGGGCATATGGGTGTTCAGCATACATTCCCTTTCACACTGAGATTTTAAAACATTTAAGATTTTTAAGAAATCAAGACAGCTACAAGCAGGTGTGTGCTACTGCACATTAGCAAGCGTAAGTCTACAAAAGCAACTCCAGCCCCTTCAAAGCTGTGTATTACTTTGCAATTAGTTCAATGCAAGAAGAGAAAGCAAACAGTTATTTGAAGGTGTAAGCAGGCAAGTAGGGCTAAAGCTGCCTTCTCCGTCTGGACCCTGAAGGTCTGAGTGGTTTTTTCAGGCTTTGCTCTTCATTAACACTAGTTTAGCACCAGGAATAGAAAATACCTTTTGCCTGGGGCACTGCCTGTTCTGTGCCTTCCATGTTCACGATGCTGATCGTTCCCTCTGTTTCTCAAGTCATGAAATAACTTCCAAATTTCCTATTTCACAACTTAGTAACTACCCTCCTCATCAGACCTTGATTTTTTTGCCTTTTTCTTTTCTTCTCCCCTGACTGGAAAACAGTAACACAGTTTCTCTTTGCCTTTGCCTTCCTCCTTGGACTCAGAGCCCGTACTCCAAAACCTTTTTGAGCAATCTGAAGTTCCATGCTGACATGGTGATTCCCAATTCTGCTTAATTACATGGACTGGACAGGCACAGAAGCCTTTTAGCAAAACGTGCAGGAAGGTCTCCCTTCCTGATATGTGCAGACCTCCAGCCAATGTTCAAAGGAGGACTAAAAAATTTCAAGATCTCAACTAAAACTCACCTTTCCCAAGATGACTTCCCCAGGAACCACCCACCTCCCTTATCACTTCAAAAGCATCAGAGGCTGCAGACACGAAAAACCACTTACACCTCTAGTGAGTGAACAAAGTAGACTGTACGTGCCAAGAGACAGCAGGAGAGGATCAGAGAGTTCCTGGACCAGCTTTTAGTGTGTCTCTTTACACAGGATGGATGCTGGAGCAGAAGAGGACGCTGTCCCACTCCTAGATCCACCACCTCAGTAATCCAACATTTCTCTCTCCATACTGATAAAGAGAAAATAAGACCAGTGAGACCGATGGGCACTCTCCAGGGTTGTCAGGCCTTGCAATATAGTTGGTAAAGGCTGATCACCTGCCTTTTGGCTGCCTCTCCCTGTGGGTAGGGCTGTGGTCCCTACAGAGTGGTCCACAGAGACAAGTGTTATGTGTGGAAAAGGATAAAAGGAAAGCAAGAGAAACACATGCGGCAGAGTGAAAGAACACAGGGATGCTCCAGGCACTCGAGTGTCCCTAGGAAAGCCTCAGGTGGCAGGTTCTGCTATCACAGTCGATACTCAAATGAGCTCACATGGAGAGAGCTCCTTAGCTTCACTACATGGAAAACAAATAGCAACTTCCATCCTTCCAACAAGGATCTCACTTGGTAGGCAAGTCTCAGATTTCCATTAAGAGTTAGCCAGCTCTATAGTAATTATGCATTTTTAGTTCATTAATAGCTTTTAATTATGATGCCCATACAAGCAGCAGGCTCTGTAATTTTCTGTCGGATAGCTTAAGCCATTAGAAGTCTCCTTCTACCAGTCACAAGAAACAGATGCAGTTATAGAAGCAGCACCTTACCCTTGAAGAACGGTGGCAGAAGACCTCTTAGTGCTGGGTTTTCAGGCATCCAGTTTTGCTTTGTATCTGGAGCCATTTTAGTAACATGTGGAAGGATATTTTGGATCTAGATATCATCACTAACATCCTCAGAAGTGTGCAGCATAGAGCAGCACCATTTTGTACGACAGTGGATGAATTTGACTTTGTACAACAGAGAGTCAAATACATGCACATCCCCAAATTCCTCCCAGATAAAGCACTTACCCACAATAAAGGATGGGCTTTCTTAAAACTAGTGAGTCTTAGTTTCTCAAGCAGGTTTCTGAAGATTTACATTAAGTTCTTCTACCCTGCAACAAGCCATTCCTCCTGACTGACCTGAATAGACACTACTCCCTTTTCTCAGCACAATTGGTGTCATAACGTGCTCTTACCCAAGATAACTGCTAGCTTTATTTTTATTGGAAATGATGGATGCAGTAGCCAATAAAGTAAAAAAAGGCAATTTAGCAGTGGACTGTTGCAGCATTTGTCATGTGAGGACAGTGAATGACTCAAGCTGTCTTGAAAAATTAATTTTTAGTGAGCTTCTCTGAAAAGCACCAGTCTGAGAGGGACTGGCTGCTTCTAGCTGTGCGTTCAGCAAGACAGCATTGCTAATATTCTTCTTAAAAAGTGTATCACCGAACAAGTTTGTTATTGAGAGGAATAGGCAAAAAGTGAGGAGTATGCAGAGACGGAAAGGAGAGCAGAATGGAAAGAAAGGAGCAGTGTGTGGTTCGTGTTTTATCACACCAAGTTATTAATGGCTACTCAAGTTCAATTCCATTGGTACCAGAGCTCCCAGAGTTATCAGAAAGTTGGCTGGGCAGTCTCCAGCAGCCTCAGCAGGCAAATTCTGCCCAGTCTCTAGGGGGTCTTAACTCCCACCCTGACCCCTGCCAGACAGAGAAGGGAAAAAAATCTCATGACCCTGAGTAAGTAAGGCAGAGCAGAGTTCTTCCTGACACCTGCCAGCATGTCTCCCCGACCTGCTGTGATTAATCTAATGCTTCATTACGAGTCCTCCTCCAACCTGCAGGCAACCCACTGAAGTCACAAAGCGTGTAATTTGATTAATCAGCTTTATCAATGAGCTTGCCCGAGAGCTCCAGCAACTCTACTCCAGAGAATGTCACCTTCAACAACCTGGAGGCTCATCTATCTTCAAGTGTCTGAAGTGCGTAAAGAAATAAAGGAGAAACTGGTTATTAGAAGGCAACCGAGTCAATGAAGTGAACACAAAGACCACGTTGACCGAGCAACTAGATCGCGGTGTGCCCGCAGCCAGGGCCGCATCCCCGCGGCACCTACACCCTCGAGACAAGAAAACGAAGTAGATGGAGACGCGGCGGCCTCCCTCCCCTCCTCGCCCCGCCGGGCCCTGCCAGCCGGGTACGAGGTCCGGAGGGGCAGCCTCGGGGCCGCTGGGCCCTGCCCGAGAGCCGGCGCTCAGAGCCCCCCCCCGGGCAGCACCGACCCTCCCGGGGCAGCCACGGGGCTCCGGCGGCTCACCCGCGGTCGGCCTCAGGGAAGCGGCCGAGCCAGCTACGGGCGGGAGCGGAGCGGAGCCCGGCCTGCCCCGTCCCCGTCCCCGCCTG